ATAACCAAATAAAGCTAAATATATTATTAATAAAGGATTACATTTCATACATGAATGCAATTTAATGAATGGTAACATTCAACCCTAATGCGGCGTTCACACAGTGCCGATTATGGCTCCCGTTTGAGATCAAACAGCGCTACGACACGAACAGCGAAAAAGTCGGATTACTTTCCTCAATGATCTGGAATGTCCTATCATTGTCGGAACGCAGTCGTATACGTTCGTAACAGAGTCCTACGGATCGGGAATGGTCCGGAGCGGTCGGCCAATCACTCCCGACAGTTACGTGCATCCCGTAACATTCGGGAAACTCAGCCGATTTTGTATAGTCGTATTACAATCGTGACTATGTCGTGACATATTCTGCTGTATCGGATCAAAATCGTAACAATATCCTGTGTTGTCTGGATGGTATCTTGACGGTTTCGTGTGGATCGGGACACTGTCGTGATGAACGGGCAAGATTTGGAGAAATTTTTCATTGCCGTTTCTAGCCGATTAAGTCCAGATTGCGTCCAGATCTTGCCGAATGCGTCGGTTCACTGTCGATCGCGTTCGGGACAATCAGGACGCTGACGGGACAGATTCGGTCGTTTTTTACCATGCGGAAGATACAAATCGGATCAGATTCGGATTGAGAACGGGAGAATCGGGACGAATTTGGCTGGAAACGGCTGAATCGGGACGCTTCCTGAACAATATATGATTGTTGTCGTGATTAAATAAACATTTTCACAAATTTGTGAATTTCCCGCCACGAATCACACGATCTTGATCAGACTTTTGACAATTTTTTATCGGAAGTGGTCCTACCAAGGACGGCAGTAAAAATCCTGAATGTGTGACTGAGGCTTAACAAAACTAACAGTTATTCGTTAGTCGCAAGGATTCGAAAACTGACAAAATGACCAGTTGTATATGAATAATAATGTGTTTACTGAAGTCCAAAATCAGAAATATTTCTGTATTTGGTTTTCATCACACATTTCATGGCATATTCATATACACCATACAACAGTGCCTGTTAAACACGTCTATCTGTATTAAGGAAACTTAAACTTTATACAAATTCTTTACAACAAATGATGCCGCAATACTAGTTACAAAAGGTACTTAACTTACTAGTTATGAATATTTATATAGAGATGCCATGTGGGGAAAATTAACAGGACGTTGTGTAAAATACAATTCAATACATTTTCACAAAATGGTCAACAAAATGTCCCTTACCTATATGTCATCGTTAGTCACCGTAAGTAGCAATTTTCAGGACCTGTTTGTCCCGGTTCTTGTGTCTGTTTGTCCCGGTTCTTGTGTCTGTTTGTCCCGGTTCTTGTGTACTTGTTTTGGAATCCTTTTTGTTGATTTTGTATTATTTTGTCACTGCTATTTATTGATTAACAAAAAAACTCGTTAAGTTAAATTTCAAATGCAAAAGAAATGCTCAACACCGTATGAACTATGAGATGTAGGAAGAAGTAATCAGATACCATGGTCTATTGCTATCATCTGCGTAATAAACATTAAGATCATTGGTTACACACAGTTTCTTTCAAAGACAGTCGTGATGATGACAATTCATGTATTAAAGGGATTTTATCACAAATATATTTCCAAGATATTATGTAACATGATATTATCTCAAATTCAACGAGTGTTTATGCATTGTTTCCAAATATTTGATTTTAAGTAACAGAAATACAATAAGAGTGCATTGTGATTAGAATTAGGACTACTCGATATGTGTAGTTCTAATTTAATATTTGTTAATTTTATACAGACTGATAGTGATAATAAAGGTATGTCCAATCATGTAGAACAAAGAAATGATAAAGGTCTCATGTAAGGATTTGGCTGCATATGACGATGTGCCGAGAATTCGTCCATGACAATATTCCCATATGTCGTCTCGAAACCTGCGGAATATGAAGAAGGTTCGTTTTATCTGTAACCATTTTCCATAGGTTTTTTTATCCTCCATAAGAACAGATTAAAATTATTGAAGTATTTTCAAAATGGATGATCATTTGAAAGATTCTTATCATTTATGATTCCAATAAAATGGTGTTGCATACATATTTTAGCTTATTCAAATCTCCTTTTACGTAAAGAGTCCTCCCTTTCTGAAGCCTCGTCTCCCTAGAAATTCCTCTGAGGAGTATTAACAGTCTTCACCTTCAGGTCCCTTGCCACGTCTACTAAATAAAGCATTACATGGCACGAGTGAGGTAGGTTTGCTTGCGAATACAAATAAGACAAAGTAATATTTTCATGAAAGTAACTTAGAAAAAACACCTAATCAATAACGTATTTAAATAAGCGTAATCTTATTTTATTACTCAAGCGTACATCCGATTTATTTCTATTACATGCAACACAACGGTAAATAAGCAAATTAGCGAACCGATTATTTTGCTGGTGCAAAGCAAAAAGAATACCGAAGTGGTAAGCTTTCAGCAAAGGCAAGATTAACATGTAGACCGTTTAAAAATTAAAAGGAGAATAAAAAGCGACCTTAATATCGCGCACAAGGATATAAATTATTTCCCCACGAGATCGTAATGGCGACCATACAACTAGGTGCTTTATCAAGCTCCATCTCTCGGAGGTCAGTGTTGTAATTATATCCGTTACCAGTTGACATCTTACATCTTATCATAAAAATCATGATGTTAGGAGTAATAAGCTCTTGAAAACCAAATCCACTGCAATAAGTCAACACCGTAGGGTGGGGAAGCAGGAATGTCAATATCAAGTATATTTCAGATAAAATGTGCTTCTATAATTAACAAAGTCAGAGTTCAATATTCTTAAATCTGCTTTAACTTGATGCTTACCATTCAGTAACACATGGGTTCCGTGTTGGGCTACCGAAGTTTTTTCTTCTTTCTACGGCCTGCAAGTTTTGGAAAGAGTAATGTTTAAACAATAACATTTTCTCGAAAATCCGTTGTTTTACAAACACCATTCGGCTTCCATGACTGGTCATTGTACAGGGTTCTAGCATATTGAATTATCATAAATATATGCCTTGGCTTCACAGGGGAAAAAAACATACCTGTATAATATTTCCCTTTAAAATTAAAATCTTACGGAATTTCCGGGGTAAATTATGGTCGGAAAACTATTTATATCAATTGATAACAAAAGATTATTGATAAATAACTCATCTTATTCTACATGTTACATAGAAGCAGGGGTTTCCCAGGGATCGATTCTTTGACCCCTTGTTTTATTAATGTACAACAATGATGTTGCCAATCTATTGGAATCAATATCTTTCTTTGCGAACGACACATACTGTTAAAATCATAATCTTGTCACGAAATCCAGGTTATTTAAAGGGATCTTAAATAGTTAGAATATATGGGCTTACATATGGTTCGTCAGTTTTAGTCAGAACAAAACTTATGCTCTTTTTATTTCAAACGCAATAAAAATCGAAGCAGATTTTAATTATAATTTGATAGTAACCTTTTAAAAACTTATATCCATATGCTATAATGCGTTACATTTGATTCAAATGCAAAGAAATATATAAATCAGTCAAAAAAAAGGAATATTCATAGAAAGCTTAAATACCTGTTCCAAACGGAAACACTTCAAATGATTTTTGCGGAAATAGAAAGAAATACAAAATATATAGTTATTATGTTAGGGGATTAATAACATAAACATACCTCCAAAAACACAATAATAATTCTAAACAAACTAATTCAAATGTTTGATGAGGGCGTCAGCGGTATAAGGCCATATGTTTTCCCCGAGGGCACGCCTACGACAATTCCACAAGAAAAAATCACAACATCAATCTGGCATTTTTGCGTGGATCATAAATCATTGAACTTTTCACATTTAAAGTAATTTGCAAGCTATTCATTGTAGTTATCACATCATTTGGAAGATAAATGGAACCCTTACCAAATAATTATTTGTAATTACAGGTAAGTATTAATTACGCGATAATTGTACGATTAATGTATAGATCGTGCTATGGTTGATAAAAACACGTGTTTGTCTACTGTCGCGCCTACTGGTCGAGGATGGAGAGAAGATCTGCTAGCAAGTGCTTGATTCGGAACAGACGTCACATTGAGTTGGAAATCACTTGTAGAACGGGGGATCCTCTGTTTGAAGATTCAAAATCGACTAAGATAGATATGCTCAACTGTTTTATCTCCTTTAAACTTATTTCATTATTCCCTAACGCATGTCCTTGCAATACTTTGCTTCTGCCCTTGGTGTGAACATTTTCAAAAGCGAGAAATGTTATTGCTTTTACGCCTTTACTGAGACAAAAAGTCCTATAAATTGTACTTTCTGCTGATTTTATAAATAACAAAATATAACATATACATGAACCACAGCGTTTGTGGACAAGGTCAGACGATGAAAATCTCGATGTTAAACGACAAGGATTAATGATATTTAAAACCTGCAGCGATGATATTGTTTTTTCAGATTCATGAGACTTTTTAAGTGTTTTTATTAGCCTTAGGTGCTAAAATTAAACAAAATCTTACCCTCGGGTTATGATTGCATCGTTAACATCACAAGATAGCGGTTCAACACAATCAGTACCACGGACATGTTAATTACATGTATATGATAAATCCTAATATATATACAGGTCTACAGGAAAACCTCAGAACCTCTAGCCGTGCAACAACAGCGGAAAAGGTTATATAAAAGGAGGGATTGTATTCACCATACCGAACAAGAACAAATACTACCTTAAATATAGACAAGATACTATCTAAGTCATTCAATAAATCGGTTTTCATAATACAGTGTATAAGACGTAAATATTTAATTTCTTCCCCGTTGAATAAATGGAATACACAATCATATATTACTTATTCTAAGTGTACTTCCTGCTGACGACCGCTCCTCGTACAAAGCGGAAGTTACATGTATGTATATATGTAGGTCATCCAGATTGCGGCAGTGATACACTTACGACACTATCTATAGCCGTACGCTGATTGGTTACTTATTCAAACGTCTCCGTATAAACGGATAACCACGTGATTTAACTGACAGTAACCACTGAGGCAAGCAAGAGAGCATTTCGGATCTGTGAAAACCCACGCTCCTGAAGGTAAGACTGTAATCATGATCTTTAAATTTAAGCCTCCGTAACCTCGACAACGTTTATAAATGTTTTGAATAGTTTCGTAATTTTATTGAGGTATACTTTTTCTTACATCATTAAGTTTATATTAAAATCATAGTTTCGAATAAATCGTTATTATTAAATTGTTAGAAGTTAAAAAATATATAGAATATAACACTTATATAAAACCATTTCACAACGATGACTAATATCAGATTGATCATTGCATCTTTCCTACACATGTGTCTCTTAATTTGCACTTATTAATGCGATTAATATCTTATTTGAAGCGTTATTTTTGACGTAACATTTACAAAAAAAAAAAAAAACAACATTAAATGTAATCTGTTCAATCGATGACAGGGCCTACATCGGAAAGAACATGAGTATAACAAAGTGCTCCTTATCAACTGGAAAGTTTGAATGAACATGTAATTATCATGATTGATGGATTCTGGAGATTTCCCTAGCCTATCATCTGACATGAATAACATTATAAATTACTAAAACAGAATAACGCCATTTACTTAGTACTGTTTTTGCATGATGTACGACGTTGTAGGTGCGCATAATTAATCACAAAAACACACTGCTTTGTTTATCTTCTAAACATCAAACTACGAACACTACATTTGTTACGATAATATATAATACACAACTGTTTCAAGAATAATATCTTCATTGTAAGCTCAAACACGTTAATCACCAAACCACCTTCAAGTGTGAATCCTGATACCTTAAAGTGAGAAACCTGATACCTTAAAGTGAGAAACCTGATACCTGAAAGTGATCAACCTGATACCTTAAAGTGAGCAACCTGATACCTTAAAGTGAGAAACTGATACCTTAATTCACGTATACACTCATCTTTAATCCCATTGGTATGCTTACAAGCTGTCGAAATATTACCCTGAACGCTGAAATGAAATCTGATTGCTTAACCATTTAAAAAGTATAAACACTTCCCTTTACCTTATTCACCTGTTTACAAGTTTGTCATAAATTGAACTGAAAACTGATAAGTAAAGATGCAGTTATTGGTTGCTTAAATGGTGTTATTTGCGCTATGCGATATTATATGCATCGAGAGGTAACAATGATAAGATCTACACTTGTAAGTGGTAGAGAGCGTACGAAAACATCTTGACAATGAATACCATCTATTTTAATTGTGTCGTAAGAATGTCCTTATCCCAGCGGTTTTTTGGGGTCAAATGAAATATGGCTAATTGGACGCCCAACTTACATACAAACAGAAACTATGCAAGCCTGCTTCTATGAAAATATTCCTTTTCAATATGCGTGCAATTTATGTAAATGTTGAGAGAAGGAAATGAAGATGAAATCGTTTTAACTCGCATTATCAGCATACCGTACCAGTTCAGGTTTTCGAGAAATAAACCAACTGCGTGCCATGTAACCGTCCCCTGTCCCTTCCTTGGTATCGCCCTATACGCTCTTGGTTTGCCGATTGTCACCATGATGTTACCTGATACAGTTCCCGGCGTTTTGAGTGGACCCCTATCATCTGTTGACACCGTTTCAATGTAACCTTGGCTGTTGCGAGGACGAAAAAAGATACGAACAGACATGTACTTCAATGTAATGTCTACCGTAAGGAGCATTTGGTTACATTGTTCATGCTCTGAATGAGTGTTTCGCTTCAGGGTTCTCGCTGTTTCAGTTGATTTTCTTGAGTTATTAAGGTTAGTATGGCTCTCCTGTGTGTTTACACTAGGATTGGTTTTAAACGTTTTAACTAAATAGACGGAACTATGGAATACATCGTACAACAATTAAATGGCTGCAGTTGAAGATGGTGTGAATACAGATAAAGTTTCTAACGACATCTATTATGTATTGACCAGCGTATAACTGACCATTCGATTTATAATATTACCTAAAACCTCTAAAATTTACGGCAAACACATTAACTAGTTATACATTTATTCATTTATATAGTCTTCTGTGTTTGTAAAAACTTATGTCACTGCTACAATTGATACGCTTCGCAAATTGGTACACGTGTCAGAAAATTGTTCCAAAAATGCTTTTAATCAAATTTGTATATTTTCCACCGACGATATTACATAATTTATTAGGAATTCCACCTTAGAAAACCAGAAGAAATGACGCACGTCGACAATTATTTTGAGGATTTTGACGTGGTTGATTATAGCCATCTTTAAATGTTGATTTCTGGTTCTTATAATTGGATAATATGAAAGTGTATTTATACAGTTGTGGTTAAGAATGTTATATCGGCACACTAACCAGTAGAAATTAAAACAACTTTCATAGCCTGTGATGTAGTGCACTGATTTGGGTACTAATCATGGCCGAAAAACAGATAAAATACCAGTCCGTGTTTAGTGTTCTTTTTTTAAACAAACAAATTACTTGGAACAAAATGTTGTCTAACAGTGAACCACCATTGGTAGTCTTTGTCTAGAAGACAGAAACATTCCAGATATAATAATTTGATTTTTAAATATCACTGAAACACTGTTATTATACCAAGGGTGGTAGCGTGACGAACGAGGCATGCTTGCTTTTTTACGGCTGGTATATTTGGTAGCCGTGATTTGTTGGAAGGACTGCATAGCATTGTTTTGAAATGTTTTTGTCCGTATTTAACGTCTTCGTAGCGTAACCGTTAAGGTTAAGTTAGTGTACGCATCGATTTGCGTCTAAACACATTTTATGAGATAATTCTATAAGATAATAGCCTGCCCGGGGCTAACAGAATTAAATAAGAATCGCATAGCTTAAACGAAATGTCGAACGTTCGCTAATGAAGATTAAAAGTCTACATACAAAACCTTAATCTAATAAAACAAACCTTGATTTTACTGAAGCTTTATATTCGAAAAGTTTTGGTACGATGATATTCCTTATATATAATGAGATTATTCTGAGAGCATAGTAACACCAGTCAATCAACAGTGTTTAGGTGTTAGGTTCATGAACGCAATGTCCCAACCTACGACATGGCATATCTTTTGTTCTCGTCCAATGGTTGTCCTGTTTTCCTTTAAAATCTACTTGTCCAGAAAGATTAATTCATAGGAAAAGATCATTTAAAGTTACATGTTTAACGGATTTTTGCAGGAGAAGGGCTCGGATATTTTGTTCAAATAATGTGATTTTACATGCTTTAATTTAGCAATCGCAAAAACCGTTTTTGATAAAGGTCGCAGAAACTCGTGTCATAAAAGATGTAATCGGGCCTCTATTTTACTGTGAAATCGTAGAGTTTTGTTGACCAACAGTTCTTAAAAAAACGGTGTTTATATACCAATTTGATAAGAGATGCTTCTGGAAAAGTTTCATAAAAACAGCTTCAACAAAGGTGACAGTCAGTGCAAGTTGTTTTATTACAGGTAGACACCATTCTCACCTGTGACTGTCACTTGTATCACACCGCTGACTCTTCCTTTTCTCGGCACATTTAAAAGAAGAAAAAAATTCGGGGAGAGACATTTTATGCAGCGATGTGATAACATGTTGATGAACCTTTAGCAGCCTCTTACATTCAGATTGAAGATCGTACAATATGCTGACTGGTACGAAGTTCCTGTTTTCGAATACATCCCATATTGTTATTCAATTCATGAACTTCTTTTCTTCCTTAGTTCAGTACAAAAAGTACAATATTTTTATTTATTTTTTATAAAATCGACATACATCACTAGCTACGTTGATGTATTAGATCACGTTAAGGCACTTTGAAAGTTACCACATTGCCATAAGTTTGGAAATGCATTACACTGTGAGGTAATAATTCAAGTATTCTATCATAGAGTTTTTGCTCGTTTGTTTAATTTTAAACGTAATTGTTGTCTTGTGAAAATGTCCAGGGCTCGCGATTGTTCAAACCATGATCAGCTTCACGTGTCGTAATTAGATAATTTAAAAATTCATTTTAATCCTGAAAAAAACCAATGATAAAGCTTATCATTAATCAAAATTCTCCGTTTACATTTTAAAATATAAAAAAAAAATGAACGGCATTTCTGTCAGTAATCTCAACCAATTTACAACGTAAAAGAACATAGTCAATACAACTACTATCGTAATCAGTTAATCACTTAGATTGTAGTTCAACCACTAGTATGATGTACGACTATCACGTGAACGTCACGTAAGATTTAAAAAGAAATGATGAGTCAATATCCTTTTTGATATTAAAATAGAAAGACCTAGTCATTGTTACCTACGACAGTCATAACACAGTGCATATACATTTACCACGAAATACAGAGGGATTCGTAATTCATAAGCAAGATGACCACGGAGTGTTGTACAATGTAAGAGGCGACTAAAAAGGGACAACGAGTCATAGCCTGTTTCATATTGCGATAGAAAGGCCCAGTCATCGTCACTTAAGACAGTCATAAAATAAATAAAGAGGGATTCCTAATTCATATACGAGCTGGGTGGTTGAGTGGCGTATAACGTAGTCGATAGCGCACTTGCCTTTCGCCAAGGCGACTGGGGTTCGATTCCTCGATCGGACGTGACAAAGGTGTTGGGTCACCTACCCGACCAAGTGGGTTTTCTCCGGTTACACCAGTTTCCTCCCACATTAAGACCATCGCGCACTTACATCCAGGCCGACAAGAGTGATTTATTTAAGTTGAAATAACTTATTTCATAATTGTTGGATAAATAAAGCTAACATTTACAACGTGCTGACCACTGCATGTTGTAGAAAGCCACTTAATTTCTTATTAAAATAGAAAGAAACATTCATCGTTACTAACATTGATAACATATAAACTACACACACATTTACCAAGTAATACAGAGAGAGTCATATCTAATATACGTTCTAACCACCGAATGTTGGACAGAGGAAACTAATGTGGTTACACAATGCAGGATTTGGAATTTTCTTTTTTTGCCATCCAACGACGCAAGAAAACGATTAAGATTAAATCTGCTGTACTCGTTACTTTTACTTCATTTTGGAATATTTTGTTCTTTTTTTGGTAACTTTCTTTCCCTATCCCCTTACTTGGCAATATAACAACTCCTCGCTTTTGGTCCTGGTGTTGAGTGTTCTCCTAAGCGAAAGTTATTGGTTTTGTCGTGTGACCGAGTCAAACCTACGTCATTAAAATTGGTACTTACTGGCCTCTGCTTGGCGTTCAGTTTTGAACGGTTGGGGGTTAGGACTGTTCGGTATAATCTGGCAAAATGGAGTGTCATGCTGCCGTGTCCAGGGTATCATTTTTCATTGTAATGGCAGTTAAAAGTGGACCATACCATTAGTTGCCCATTATGCGTGAACACCGTTTACACATGACCTAGCGAACAAAACAAACTACCAAAAACTGTTCATGACATAAGGGTCCTAAAAAAATAACTCCTTTTTTTCAGGATCACCAATGTGTGCTTTCATTTAAATGCATTTTTTTATATCACTAGCGTGTGTCTATTTTTATATCACTAGCGTGTGTCTATTTTTATATCACTAGCGTGTGTCTATTTTTATATCACTAGAGTGTGTCTATTTTTATATCACTAGCGTGTGTCTATTTTTAAGTTGAGTCTGGTTCGTAATTTTAGCTTATCGAGTACCCGAAAGGGAACACCTCATTATTCAGTTTGTGAAAATAATTGACGGCATTTGATTTTTTTCTTAATTTCAACAACCTTTTGGCACTCGCTAAAGTAACAATTCAGTCATATACGTTGTATATTCATTGAAATGTTATTTGAACATAAAATATATCTGTTTACCAATTCTCGTGGGTTTTTTTCCCTACAATTCATGAGCAAAATTCAAAAGATAAGCAGACAAACCTTGCTCCACTTGTTTAAATATAAATGAAATTTGATTAAGAGTAGATTGAATTCATTTGTTTTGCAGAATAAAAATGCAGTATCATAACTATATTGAAATTGTTCATTTTAAGGAATCCTCACGTATACAGGTATTTCACTATTGCAATCAACTTAAACATTAAAGATATCCTTGGTTATTAGAAGAAATACGACATCTACAAACGATTCATTTTCTGATTTTCTGTTAGGCCCACTTTCTAACATGTTCTTAACCGAGTTATTTATGTACATGTTTTTCTTCACAAGACAATAAGTATCGCCTAGGTTCAACAGCCTTGAGGTCACTTCCGGTTAAAGGGTCGTGTCCCTTTTATTCTTATCCACTTGGAGATACTAAGAATACATATGAACGAAAATATTAAACAAGTCTCGTAGTTTCAAGTTTGTGAGGCTCTCTTGACAAACGACCCCAAGCGGATCCCGTACACAACAGACTGACAAATACGCTTAGCTCGAGTATATCACTGTTAAGTGTACGGCTTCCTGACCCACTGAATCATCTTGATAACCTCTTCAGTCTTTAGTGGTTTGGGTACATTAGACTAACAACTCATCACAAAGTAATGGGTACCTCGTCATTGATGTAACCATGGTCGTGTGACATCTTGGTAAATACCAGGACGTGCGTGATGGAAAACCACAAGATCCAAACATGGACTTATAGAGATCTACGTTAATTAATCATCAGCAATATTTATCTTGCGTAGTATGCCTCAAATGACCAAATGTACAATAATGGATTAAAGTCTATTGTTTGATACGCCCTAATCGATTATATGGAACATTTAGCCATCCTGAAAATTAATTCGAAAACTGTATTTAAGAGGGTCATTTAATAAATTCTGTCACTAGTGTGAGAAAGTTCATGTACGATATATACTAGTTCTGCCTTTCTATTACAATCTTTTGAAGTATCCCCCTAGCAAAAACGCACTTTCGCAATCGCACTGTCTATGACGTAAATACTGGACAGAAGTCTTCCTGTTTGTATACCACCAAGTGCACTCCTAGATGCATACCGTTTGCCGTAGAGCATTTTCCTTAGAAAAGGAAACGGGAAGAAGTCACAAGGACTTAGATCTGGTGAATAGGGTGGTCAATTTGTACTTCCTTCTCTTGCTTCACATTACAATATTGCTTATGTGGGATGGAGCATCGTCATGAATTTTTGACAATCTGTAGTACTTTCTAAAACTCGACAGTGATAGTTTTCCATTCCTTGCACGGTATCTGAACCACAGGCCCACTAGAATTGAAAAAATGGCATACACAAATGTTTTTGTTCTTTTATAAGTCTTAATCATTTGCCTTTGTTGATTTATCGACAAGCATTGATTGTTTTTGATAAGCCTCTGGGGTTCAAAGTAAAAGACCAATGTCTTATCCCCTGTAACTAATTCGGACAGCTTTCGTGAGTCGCAGTTACCATACACTTTCCATGTATTGAAAGCACATTTCAAACGTTTGGTCTTTTCTTCAGATGTCACGAAAGCGAAAGGGAGTCCACTGGGCACAAAGCTCCTTTAATGTTGTAAGGGCTTGGTCAGAATGTGATGTGTACTGCCTTCTGAAATGCAAACTATGTATCACTTTCATCCACAGCAAGATAAAAATCGTTATGTTTATCTAGCATTGTAGAAATGTCTTTGTCCTTTTGTTTATATACTGTTAGCAGATTGAAATCTATCTATCTAAATCATTCTAAGATAGGGGAAATTAACAAGTTCTCACTGATATAAGGATAAATATTTCAAATATAAGATTGAAAAATGGTTAATTTACCTTAAACTCATATTAAGAAAATTTGTGCTGAAAAAACGTCAAGTTAACAATGCTTTTAACAAACAGGCACTATTTTTTTTTTAAAAGTAAATGTGTCAAGCTAGTGGTGCTTGAAACACCATGATTTCGGTGTCATCTTCTCTTCGTAGTATTAAATTCTGTTTTCAGTTCCTGATCTCATGTCACTCACACAATAAGAAATAAGACACACGAAATTAAAGTGTTGTGGTTTCAGAATACACACTTTGTATACATTTTGTTTGTTAGGGGAAGTTGATGAGGACGCAACTCGACCCATCATTTGTTGGTGAAGTGGGCATGCGTCAAACGGCAATTGAAACAAGTGTACGCAGTACTTGGCATTTGCCTGTTTATGTAATATTAGCCGTGTATAAAAACAGACACGGATTAATAATAATTGGAATTGCGTATTGTATAAAATGTTTACATAGAATGGAACTCCCCTTAAACGCCTCATTACCAATGGAAAAAAAACACCTGTCATTTTTCATTGGAAAAGTTTCTTTCCAGCATGAGTATAGCTTTTATAAATCGTTTTCTAAATAGAAAACCATATCTTGCTGGATATTTATGAAAAATAATGAAGTTGAAATAAAAATACATATTAATCAATAGTGTCATGATTGTAAAAATATCAGACTTGTTGGACCGGGATTTGAACCGTGAACTTCAGATTGTTATATTGTCGCTCTATCCGACTGACATACTTGGTTGACGAAATGCCATGGCCTAGCTGTGACTGTGCCAAAGTAATATCTCAAAACGATTTCAACGAAAAGTAACTGTATATACGGAAAACGACAATGCGATGGACATATATCCTTAATATAGATACAAGAAGACTCCTTTATGTGATTCACAAAACGATTTCCATGTAAGCTTTGCACAAAATGAAATTTCAAATTATTAGTCATATTCTACAACAGTAATAACATATTAGTCTGTACTTGTTTTTTATGATCTGTACTTGGGTTTTTATTATTTATTCATTCATTTTTAACTTACAAACTATAAACAAGATTATCCAATGTCAAATTACATTGTCATTCCCAAAACAATCGTCTTTACATAATTAAGCTAGCAATGATGAATTATTATTTAAATAAATTAATGTTTAAGCATAATTATGGAGCTTCAACTAGTCGATACTATACGAGAACAATCTCATAACAACAATTATGAATCGTTATAATACGAAGTGGATATCTTGTTTATCAAAAGAGTTTTTGTACATGTAGAAGTTGGATGATCAGGAGAACATTCTAGAAAGACGGGATGTCAAAAACCAGGAGTGACGTCGGAGAGTGTCTTAATTGTGAAATTAAAATTTAAAAAAACCCACCAGAAAACAGAAATAGCCTATAGATAATAAAGATGAACGTTACACACACAGATTATTGCACCATACATGTATATATGGGTAATTAATACCGTAAATCCTAAAAAAAAGTACACTTCACCATACAGCTGTTTCTTCCCTACATAATTCATTTGTTATACTACAGGCAAAAAAGTTGGAAATCGAAATTGTTTTAACGACTGTCGAAACTGAAAGGAAAGTCATAAAACCCCCTTAATTGTATTTTTTCAGAAAATAGTGGTTAACGACTTAATTTCAATAAAAGTAACGAACACACAGATATGGGGTAAACAACTTGTCCAGTCAATTTCGATTACCACTTAATTTTCATTTTCAATTCCTTTTGCAGAAAATCTTTGGCTGTACAAGGCTTTCCAAAATGGCAAACGTAACCCCATCCATTACTGTGAATACAACGGTCGCCGATGACGAAACCATGGCACTTGCTACCAAGATGCACTGGGTATCCAGCGTCATATTCGGAATTATTTTCATGATTATCGGACTTACTGGAAATAGTTTATCCATCCTGGTATGGAGGCGGAAGGTGATGAAATCTTCGACCGGAACTTACCTTATTGCTCAGGCGGTGGCTGATTCTGGTCTGCTGGTTTTCTTCTTCATCACAGACACGATCAAAATGATCTGGCCAGAGATTGCTAACAGTTACGCCTACGGGAGCTTCTTCTCGTACATTGGATATCCGATCTTCTTCCTGTTCGTGGTGTGTAGTATCTGGCTGACCGTTGGGGTCACTGTTGACCGCTACATACAGGTGTGCTGGATAATGCATGCCAAGGTGAGTTATCTTCACGATTAAGGATCCCCGTGTCATGCCCTAAACATTAAATTTTAAATTGGAAACTGTTTTTGCGTCTGATAAATTATTTCTGTAAAGAAAAAACATTCCTTGCGGGACTTATGTTAAACATTAATTACGATGTTAGAAACAGAATATAATCGACAATGTTTTGATACTGAAAACGCTAGGGGATCCGACAGGGATTCGGACCCTGGTCCTCCGATTTTGATAATGCAATCCCAACCAACTGAGTTGTTTTCCTGGTCCGATTATCAAGAACGAAATTAAGGGGAGGTTACTGAGTATAACATCTGTCTGAGGTTTGAAAAGAATCCCTAAGATTAACATAATTGCTTTTGTTTTCTCAAATTCACTAACGAATTCACAACTACCGCTTTAACTTATATGTCGCCAAGTCAAGTCAAAGTATGCAGGCATTAATTAAAAAAATACTACACTTCTTGGAGCTTTTTATACGTTTTGTACTCACTTGCCTTTCTTGATTTATCGACAATCATTGTTTGCTTTAATGAACCTCTGGGGTTTCAAGGTACTAGACCCATGTCTTATCCCCTGTAAGTAACTTTTGACAGCTTTCTTGATACTCTAATACCTCACTTTTTCAATATACTATCTTTTATTTTCTGTCGGACATGACAAATCGGTATTCCGTAAAACATATTTAAAATAATAATGAAAAACACACACACACTCCATTTTCGCTTGACACAAAACTAAAAAAAAAACAGCTTTCTTTTTGATATCCCCCTTTTTATGGAATTAAGATGGGAATAGGATGAAAAAAAGCGAAATCTACAGATTGGTTTAAGGAGTTCTGTTAATGTTGGTTGTAATGAAACAGTACTAACCCTTATTTCAGAAGAACTTTTAAACAGGATTTATTCAAAAATATGTGATTGTATAGCTTTTTAATTTTGTGTTTCATTCTGTCTTACAGATTTTGATTTCGATTTTACAAAACATGTCCAAAACAATTTTGATAAAGCATCAAAATTCACGTGCTGTAATGTACCAGACATAAAGGCAGTTTTAGCACAGTTTAACTACCTCCTGTCGTCTTATTTGATGTATAATTGATATCGATGTTTTGCAAATCTGTAATATCTGCCAAACGATAGGGCTATGATCCGACATTTCGGAGTGTTTTCATTTCACTTGTTTGACGGTGATCGTTCTAATTCCAATAGAATTGATTATTCATATTTTCAATAGCACAGAAAGAAAACAGTTAAAAATGGATGGATGCATTATCGATATAATTTGGAACACGCTATTTCCCAAATATCTCCATTTCAATTTTTCAAATTTGTTTTTGATATCTGGCAATTCATGGTTAATACTACAAACTGTTATATCGGTATAACGATCGCTAGATTATACCATACATAATCTAAATAAGCCAGCACGGTATTGATATTCTGTAAAATTTCTGAATGGAACCCGTTCATCGAAGTGTTTGATATTGCAATTGTGAAATGAAACGTTTAAGGAAGTGTACTCTAAGTACAAACTACTGGGTATACAGGTAAACAGGTATACAGGTATGCAGGTATGTGTTACAGGACTCTAAGTATAAACTACTGAGTATACAGGTATACAGGTATGCAGGTATACGGGTATGCAGGTATACAGGTATACAGGTATGCGTTTCAGGACTTTAAGTACAAATGACTGGGTATACAGGTGTACAGGTATACAGGTATGCAGGTATACAGGAATACAGGTATGCGTTACAGGACTCTAAGTACAAATGACTGGGTATACGGGTATACAGGTATACAGGTATGCAGGTATACAGGTATACAGGTAAACAGGTATGCAGGTATACAGGTATAATGACTGGGTATACAGGTATACAGGTATGCAGGTATGCAGGTATACAGGTATACAGGTATACAGGTATACAGGTATACAGGTATACAGGTATGCAGGTATACAGGTATAATGACTGGGTATACAGGTATACAGGTATACAGGTATGCGGGTCAGGACTTTAAGTACAAACTACTGGGTATACAGGAATACAGGTATGCGTAACTGGACTCTAAGTACAAACTACTGGTTATACAGGTATGCGTTACAGGACTCTAAGTACAAATTACTGGGTATACAGGTATACAGGTATGCGTTTCAGGACTTTAAGTACAAATGACTGGGTATACAGGTATACAGGTATACAGGTATGCAGGGATACAGGTATACAGGTAAACAGGTATGCAGGTATACAGGCATAATGACTGGGTATACAGGTATACAGGTATACAGGTATACAGGTATACAGGTATGCAGGGATACAGGTATACAGGTAAACAGGTATGCAGGTATACAGGTATAATGACTGGGTATACAGGTATACAGGTATGCAGGTATACAGGTATGCAGGTATGCAGGTATACAGGTATACAGGTATGTGTTACAGGACTCTAAGTACAAATGACTGGGTATACGGGTATACAGGTATACAGGTATGCAGGTATACAGGTATGCAGGTATACAGGTATAATGACTGGGTATACAGGTATACAGGTATACAGGTATACAGGTATGCGTTTCAGGACTTTAAGTACAAATGACTGGGTATACAGGTATACAAGTATGCGTTTCAGGACTTTAAGTACTAATGACTGAGTATACAGGTATACAGGTATACAGGTATGCAGGTATGCAGGTATACAGGTATACAGGTATTCATGTATGCGTTACAGGACTCTAAGTACAAACTACTGCGTATACAGGTATGTGTTACAGGACTCTAAGTACAAATGACTGGGTATACGGGTATACAGGTATACAGGTATGCAGGTATACAGGTATGCAGGTATGCAGGTATGCAGGTATACAGCTATACAGGTATACAGGTATGCAGGTATACAGGTATGCAGGTATGCAGGTATGCAGGTATACAGGTATACAGGTATGCGTTACAGGACTCTAAGTACAAATTACTGGGTATACAGGTATACAGGTATACAGGTATGCGTTTCAGGACTTTAAGTACAAACTACTGGGTATACAGGTATGCGTTACAGGACTCTAAGTACAAACTACTGGGTATACAGGTATGTGTTACAGGACTCTAAGTACAAATTGCTGGGTATACAGGTATGCGATTTATCTATCAAGCTACAAGTTTAGGTGAAAATAAAGCATATACCAACATACATATTACTATACAACCATTTATAGATTTAGATATCTGCTACAAGCCCCTGTGGTTTAATCCTAAGTACACATTTAATTTGCATCATTTATATGCTGACAAAGGCTCGGCACGTTTGTTAGAAACAGGGGATGTCTCTGTGTGAAGTATGATTGTATGAGACCTTATTGATAGTTCCTAGAGTATCTTTCAATGTCAGTATTCAATAAATGCCCTTCAATATTTAGACGATATTAGGTAAATAAGATAAAAGCTGTCATCATGTCACATCACTACACAACAGGACCGCTTTGTTCTAAGATGTGTTAGCTTAATACAAATTGGCGAAAATGTTCATCTAGTACATTGTATATCAACATATATAAATTTACAATTATTATCAAAAGTGTATTTACAGAAATAAGAATATAATCACAAGCATAGGTACATGTATGTGATTAAAATAATTGTACGAGGACTAAAACAAAATTCACCCCCAAAAGTCATTTTCGCTATCCACTCTGAAAATGTCACTTCAATCTAACAAGACTTTAGTGATCTAGATCCAAGTTACAATTATTACTTCCTTTGTTAAATTACTACCGGGTACATCGATGGGATTTCTTTGTTGTTAACCTTAAAATTGCTTATTTTATCATCGCCTGATTAGAATGCGTCTCACATCGCGTAAACAAGGAAGTAGTCAGTATTTATTGAGGTTTAAATTACAGGTCAAGGACATACATTTCTGTCCATAACCTACGTAGTATAATATGTCATGGCGAATAGACTTGTTTACTGTACATGTTTCACGTCGCTTTTGGAGTTTAGTGAGTCATGCACTCGAATAGATTGCTAATATTCAGAAACCTTTATAAAATGGACACAAATTGACTAATTCAATTAACTAATTTGTTCAGACTAATTCTTGTTGCAATTCAAATGTTCAAAGTCCAAATTTTATAATCAACAATGTTAATATTTGGTGATGCTAGACTGGCCGCTTGTCTCTAGAATATTGAATTATTCAAAATAAATCCAATAATTTTGATCACTTTGATGTCTGTTCCTGAGTTTTCTAACTAGGGGAAGATAAGCTAGTAGTAAAATGCAGCCGGTAAATTCTTCATAAAAACTTAGGGGCTGATAGCCAGTCTCGGTTGATGCATATAAATACTTATTGATATATACTTCATCAGATTTACTTCATATCAATTAATATTGAAGCAATAAGATATGTTAATGATCATTTTTATCACAGTTGTTCTATTTTTAGTGCGGATATATTTGATCTAAAAAGAGTTGTGGGAAATCGTTTTCATGGAAACGGTAATGCATATATACGCCTTGTCATGAACTTAAAATTTTGAATACTTATTAAAGGATTTCAGAATCATCCCTGAAAGAACCCTATTAACATAAAGATTTAACGGCATTAACTTAAAAACCAAAATGCCGTTCAAATAAATAAATATTTACAAATAGACACTCTAAATTTTGGGAAGGAGCATATCAGCTTTTTGTTATCCCACAATCCTATCATTTTTGGTAAAAATAAACATGGCTGAATCGCCGAAACTTAATTGTATGCCAAAAGAAAAACTTTGAAATTATGATGATGCAATCTGTATTCCAACCACCTCAAGCAAGTAGGCATATATTACATATAGGGAGACACGTCTTTAAATGACATTGCCTGTTAATAGGAAGTTACCACCAATAAAACCTAAACAGGAATTAAATCGTTCATCTTCGCATATGCCACTGTGTTACAAAATCCCAATTAATATAGGTTTGAAAAATCTTGATCTGCGCATTAACAAAACAATTGACACAAACGCAATGCAATGTAAATACATTATCCCCTATATCAATATATGTTAAAATAGTTAAAATTCATGTGTACTATACGTGTGGTATATTTTATACGTTTGTTTTTCTTTCAGACAATGTGTAACGACAAAAGAGCCTACACCGGTATTGGTATCATCACTTTCCTCTGTTTTGTCATCAACCTACCGCACTTCATGACCTACAAACCTGTATCTGATGACATGCGCAGTCCGGACGAGGCAGCATTCATGCAAACTGATTTCGGTTCGGGTGAGGGAAGTATGCGGTATGAATTCTGGGTACATTGCATGTTCCTCGTGCTCGTTCCCTGGGCAACCATCTTCATTCTGAATATGCTGATCATCCGACAGGTTACCAGGGCAAATAAACGAATGGAGGAAAAGAGGAGCTCTTTCGCAAGCGGAAAGGTCAAGAGGTCGGAAAGCCAGATCACACGTATTCTCTTGACAGTGACCTTCACCTTTCTCGTCCTGATAGCTCTCCAGTGCATCACACAATGCTTCTTCATGCTGAAGGACGCTGCGGTAAGATATCTGCTTTGGTTGAAGATTTTAATTCTAACGCAGGCCAAATTCTTCCGAAACTTGGAAGCCATATAAGAACATGCTTTACATATTTTCATTTCATTTTATTTTATTGCTTCTGATCCATAAAGACAGCGTCAATTGTCATGCTCCCCGGGGAAAAAATCGTCAATCCGAAATGTTTGTCCTGGCCATAACTTCTGACACGCTGTAGATGGCTCATTGATATTTAAGGGTATATGTAAAATGGAAAGGCGTTGTGGTTGTGTCCTGTTCCACTGTTGGGTCCTTGCGACCAAGGTCAATGCCATTTTGAGGCCAACGGTCAAATTCGTCGTCCAGTCCCTTACTGATAACTCAATGGAGTTTTAGGGATATATGTAGAATTGCAAGGCGGTGTGTCGAGTACCATTGTTGTGTCCATGCGATCAAACTCAAGGTCACATTGAGACAAAAGGTCCAATTCGTCGTCCAGGCCCTAACTGACAACTCAATGTGGTTTTAGGGATATATGTAGGATGGCAAGGCGATGTGTTGCGTACCACTACATAGTTTGGTCTGTAAGCCCCATGCCAGCGTCACATTGAGGCCAAAGGTCAAATTCATCGTCCGGGCCATTCCTTCTCACCGCTATATATGGCTTAATACAATGGATGTCAAGATGATGTGACGCATATACTTCTATTGACCCTCATGTCCATCTTTAAGTTCTCATTGTAGTCAAATGTCATTTTGATTGTCAGGTGTCAGGGCTGAAGTTCTGTATCGAAGGTCGATATGTAGACTGAAAAAGTGTTGACCTTTTCGGGGAGTTTAATCCATCGCTTTCACTTTTACTTTCAGTTTCTTGACTGTAATTTGAGGGTTATACTAATTCATATATGGATAAAACATCCATCAATATAATCTGTATATATATGTTCATCCGTTTCCAGGGTAACAGGAGGATAATCAACGAAGCCTTTTCTGTGGCCAAACTGGGTATCGTCATCAACTCCTCCATCAATTTCTTTCTCTACTGCCTCACTGGTCGACGCTTCCGGAAGGAGCTTGGTCACATCATGTTTCGTCACTGCGCATGCGCACGCAATGCGTACATGCGCGAGTCAAGCACAGGAGACAGCAATAATTCAAGTATGGATAAATCAAAGTCATCCATGACATCCTCTTCAAAGTTCTAAAGAAAACTTCGCTGCCATGGCGAGGATATCGCCTTCTGCTATGACAAACGTGTACGATCTCCACTATAACGCTTGTTTGCTATGCGTTAAAAACGTACTTATTCCAAGACTTTACGAAACTGGGATGATAAGAACAGACACGACTAATACATGATTGGATCCAACGATAAAGTTGACAAACTACATTTAACGTCTTTCATAAAAAAAATTGTTGACTTTTTTTCTTTTTGCGTTACTTCTTTTTTCCAAAACAGTTTTGGAAGAGAAATAAACATATTTGTAAAGAATTGAAAAATGTGAAATTGTTCCAAAGCTTTGTTGTTGCCGATCGAAGCCGATGCATACGGCGTTAGCTTTCGAAACTTATAAGATTCCGTTTACTATTACTACAGATAGCAGATGGAGAGGGCGAAATAGCATCTCCTTTTAAACAGAAACTGCAAAGTGTTGTATATCGATATCTGTACATAAATATTTAAGTTCAATGTACATGTATAGTGGTAATAATTGATAATGAAAATATAATTTTTTCAATTATGTTTAAGATTTCTGTTTTCGTCAAACCCATCGCATGCCATCAACTTATCAATTCTCAATTTTGATTTTATCTTTTATGAAGATTTATGAAATGTATGAAATATGTTGATACAAACACAGCATTAAATGAAAACAACACCCTTGTTTGTTTATAATATACAAGAAAATCGATGATCAGAACTTCGAGATTCTAACCTTCACTCTAAATTGTTCCATGTGTCTAATCAGGAACTATGTTAGACGTCGAGGTGACGTTTTCGTAGGGATGATCCGGAAAAAATCCATATTCCGTATTTTGATCAGAAACCAAGGTGTTCGGACGTATGGGTACACTTTTGTAAAATTGTATATATTTTATCAATTGCTTATATTCTAATTATAAAGTCAATAATACTGAATGTAGTGAAAAAAACATTGTTTCGATGATAATATACTTTTGCATGTTGTTTTATTATCTTTTTGTTTCTATATTTTCTCTGAATATGATAACGCAGCTTATGGAAACGATGTTTTGTCATCATTTCTGACACATTTTATAATAAATTGTCAAAAACAATTGCTTATTTGTGCAATAGCTTTAGTGTGTAATAATTCCGTCTTTGCGTATTGCAGAGTTATCTTCTCTTGGGAGCAAGTATTGATTGTTACGTCATTGGTTTGTGTGAGAAAATTACGTCGCTTTCTCAAAAATTGATGACGTTTCTCTCATAAACAAGTGACGTAACAATCACTACCTGCTCCCAAGAGAAGATAACTCTGCAATACGCAAAGAGGGAATGGGGTAAAGATGACTACTTAATTAAATACTAAAAAAATAATTATAATATAATTTATTGTTTTAATATATAAAAATAATGAAATAATTACTTAATCTAAAAAAAAAGAGATGAAGTTGGATATAGATGTGATCTGTTTCCTTGAAAAAAATATAGTTATATTTAATTACGATTTCAACGATAAGAAGTATTACGACCAAGGTAAAATGATATATTTATAATATATTATCTTCTTTGTTAAAATAGTGCGTATGTTGTATACAACATTTAAAGTATCAGGGTCACCGTAGAAAATGTTGTATTCTGTACGTACAGTTTATCGTCTTGTACAAACAAAATAGTGTCTTGTACAAACAAAACCTCTATACACAAAAATTGTCTGGTACAAACAAAATATTATTTTGTACAAACGAAATATTGTCTTGCACAAACAAAATATTATCTTGACAAACAAAATATTGTCTTGTACAAACAACATATTGTCTTGTACAAACAAAACTTCTACCAAATGATATCTTGTACGTACAACATATTATTTTTGCATGTACAATATATTGTTTATGTATGTACAATATATTGTTTTTGTATTTACAACATATTATTTTGTATGTACAATATATTATTTTGTATGTACAACATGTTATTTTGTATGTACAACATATTATTTTTGTATGTAAAACATATTGTTTTTGTATGTACAACATATTATTTTGTATGTAAGATACTGTCCTGTACGTACGCAGAAATATTATTCTTTTTTTCCCTCTGGCTAGATACCTCCGTGTAGAACGATTATGTGACAGCGATATATTTCACGTTGCTAACAACTCGCCTTAAATCGACCTTACTCAGTGTCCATCGTGCGCGTGAAGTCATTATGTCCAAGTATAGACTCATAATGACCCTATACCAATTAATTAAGCGGAAAACAGCTATTTACCTTGCTGCCGTGCTTTGTAAATTGTCTTGTTGACTTGAAAGCTGATAAGTGACGTGAAGGAAATTAAATATATGATAAGGGGATCGGTGTATACGTCACATGGTTTGCCTGACAGTATAAGGATCCTCGTATCATTGCAAAAAGAAAAAGGAAATATACATTGGAATGTTTCTGCCATGACCATAACTTTGGTTAATCATGTAACAAATAAAAAAACAACTAAGGTGAAATAAAAAAATAAAAAAATATATCCAACAGTTTTTTTTAATGAAAAATACAACGGGGCCATATCAGGGCCCGTATTCATGAAACCGTTCTCCTGCTCAAACTCTCACCCTATGCTCAAACCCAATTTTTTCCTCCCGTGATAAATTAATAAAAAAAAATCACATTTTGTCAATTACATGTAAGAATTTTGTCTTAAGCCGAATATCGTTTTCAATGTATATACTTAACCTTTTGACCTTGTCACGTGATATAATCAAGTTTTAAGTAAGTTGGGTTGAGCACAGAATCTTCGCTTCAGCATGAGAAGGGTTTCATGAATACAGGCCCATGCAGGATTTGAGACCTCTGATCATTCTGTTGTTTTTACCAACTGACTTACATGATCAACGTTAGTACCACGGCAAGTCACGCTTAAGTTATATCCAAAACGCAAATAAAAGCAGGTTTTAAATTGCACACCATTGAAAAACTGCAGTGGAATTCTATAGTAATTTGAATGCAATGTAAAAGAGATTCTTACAGTGTTTATCGGTCATTTTGTGAAAATATTGTTCTTAGAAATCAGCAAAACGCATAGGCGCGTAAGTAAGTAGTGTGTATGCAAAATTTATCATCTAGCCATGCTAGGTTGCATTTGGGGTTTTGGGAATCAGGTCAGGGGTTGGGGTGGAGAGTCTATTTCTGAATTTCAAAGAAAAAAATAAATGGTTATTGATATGACAGAAAATAACACTAGTTTTGTTGAAAACGTGACTTTGAGAATGATTCATGCACACTTTTATTTGTTGAACAGCATCCTTCGGAATTACAAAATCTCCCAGCATGCCCGTTACGTTCACGCAGCTGTTCGTTTACTTACCTGGCAGCTACAGTTACGCCTGCCACTTGTGCTCACTACGATAAAACACAGAAATAGATCTTCTTAGTCCGAAGATGTTACGGAAAAGGGTAATTAAATGTCCCCTCCCATTATTTTGCATTCTTTTATCAAAGCTTTACAGCTAAACCTCGATACAATGCACTTCCGTTTCATTTGAAACCCTGCACATACCACTATCGTAGTTCTGAGTTCAACTTTTCCTCATTTTCATAAAAAAATATCCTCATTTATCTTTCGATACATTGTCAACCCCCGTTATAACGCCAACTATTGTCTCGACTATTGATAACACTATAACGAGGTTTGGCTTTACTTTGCTTGCGGATGTATTGGTGATATATTTTGTATGACGTAATTAGTGCTTTGTTATATTATTGTTATAAAGTTCATCTTGACGGCAGTCAAAATCCAATGTTACGAAATGACGTGAAGTTTGTACACCTGTATATAATTTATTTTGTTAATAAATTGTTGTATCATTTTTTTTCTCTTGCGTACTGTTTTTGCTTTTCTGATTATATGTGAGTTTGCCTAGGAATCAGACCATACCAAAATGTTCAATTTCAAAAGAACAGAATATCAGAGAAAATTTAAGGAATAACCAGAATGATTTTGGGATTATACAGAATATTTAATCGGGGATCATCGGCACTTTCCGTAAACGAGATTTTTATATACTCACATTTAAAAATAAAAAGTATTTTTCTTTTACGGGAAGTGCCGAGGTTTCCAATTGACGGTTGGTATATACCGGAAAAATGTGTGCACTTTGCATAAATCGGCAATATACCCTATAACACCAAAAACATGTTTTTATTTAAAAAAATGAAAGACAACAGTTTTTAGTTCATAATTAATAATTAATGAATATAAATTCACTTCTGGTAAAAACCAAAGAATTTTGCACACAACACTACATTGCGCTGTTATTTCATCGCCGAGCAACTTCAACGTATTAGAAGATAGAATTACAAATACCGCGCCAAACATTGCGGTATACGACGTCATCACATTTGTGGAAAACAAATGTTCAGCTTCACGCAATGTTATTGTATTCCGTCTTTGCGTATTGCAGAGTTATCTTCTCTTGAGAGCAGGTATTGATTGTTACGTCATTGGTTCGTGTGAGAAAATTACGTCGTTTTCTCAAAAATTGATGACGTTACTCTCACAAACAAATGACGTAACAATCAATACCTGCTCTCAAGAGAAGATAACTCTGCAATACGCAAAGACGGAATAGAATAAACTAGAATTTTGTTATTGTGAACAAAAACATCTGTCTCCCCTTATTAGCCAATAAACAAACTTCGGTATAAAAACAATTAACAAAGGACCATATCTCTTTATATAGTGGGGCACGAGACCCGAATTTAGAATGCGACACTCCTGCTTCCCGAGATACATTAAAACTATAGCAAGTTTGGTCAACGTAGGTGAAATAACATGGAAGTTATGCCGTGGACAAAATTCGGTTTTAAAAATAAACAAATGGCCATGACTCTGTATATAGTGGGGCATGAGACCTAGTTCCAGTGCACTGCACACCTTCCGTGGCTGATGCAGGTATACTTTAAGTTTGATTAAGATATCTTTAATGGTTTAGAAGGTATGCCGTGGATAAACTTCGGTATTAAAAATAAACAAAGGGCCATAACTCTGCATATAGTGGGGCATGAGACCTAATTCCAATGCACTGCACACCTTCCGTGGCTGATGCAGGTATACTTTAAGTTTGATTAAGATATCTTTAATGGTTTAGAAGTTATG